TTTGACCAATTAGTGTGTGTGTTTTCTGGCCATTGTTAAAGTGTGTATGGTGGGGGGAAGCGGGGAGTGTTAGGAAATGTCTTGCATGGGTTGGTTCTTATTTTACCATTTACCATATGGATTCCAGGGATCAGAAGTCATCAGGCTAGGCTACAAGCATCCTTATCCGCTGAGCCATCTCTCTCACCTGCCCTCACTTACTTTTGCTTTAGTGTTATAGAAATTTGGAACTGCTATAAGACTTATTTTGCTGTTTTTTTTTCTTTGTGTGTGTGTGTGTGTGTGTGTGTGTGTGTGTGTGTGTTTTAATGAGTAGCTTTCTTCTCTTTAATTCTTTGATTCACTCCCAAGAGGCAAATACCATTATTCATATTTTATGGGTGATGAAATGAAGGTTTAGAGAAGTTAAATTTCTTGCTTACATTCTCGAATTGTGGGAAGCTGGAAAACTAGCTATGCTCTTAGCTTCTCACACTCCTAAGAGACCGTGGTATCTTTTAGTATGTTTACTATAGAGGAACTGTGATCTGGGATTTTTTTTTTTTTTTTTTTTTTGAGACAGGGTTTCTCTGTGTAGCCCTGGCTGTCATGGAACTCATTGTATAGATCAGGCTGGCCTTGGACTCAAAAATCAGCCCCCACCAAGTGCTGGGATCAAAGGTATGCACCACCATGCCTGGAATGATCCGGGCTATTAAATGGCATTTTATATCACACAGATGGTCAGAGCTAAATATTTATTCAATCTCTTGGTATTTCTTGCCTGTCTATATACTATGGTTGTTTATTGTGTATATGTGGGTATGGTGCAGGCGTGTCCACATATGTGTGGGTGCAGCCTGTGGAGGTCAGAGGAAACCTCAGGTGTCATCTTCAGAGACACTGTCTACCTTCTCTGATAGAGTTTCTCTCTGTTCTGGAGGTCAGTGGCTAGGCTAGACTGCCTACCCTAGGAACCCTTCTCTCTCTCTCCCCAGCTCTGGAATTCAACCATATATCATGGCATCTGTCATTTTTAGGCATTCTGAGCATATAACTTGTCTTCATGCTTGTCAGCACTTCACTTACTGAGCTAGCTACCCAGTCCGCCACAGTCATTTTATAATTAACGTGGTCAAGATATAATTTTGGTCTAAGTTTTGGTTCATGATGTAACTTTGGCATATTACTTATAGAACCAAGTAAAGAAATCAGACTGAATATCTCTGCTTTGAACACCAAGGAGAGAGAATGTTAGTTGTGTACCTGTGCAAGCATAATAAAGATGGCTCAGACAGCAGACACCCGACCTGGGGAGGGAAAACTAGTCCAGGAATCAGTTATGTCTTCTGTGTCATACAGCCCATCCTGGGAGAGGGGACTGGGAAACATGGCACATTGGGGCTGGGGATACAGCTGTGTGATAAGAGTGTGTTCTTAATGTACAAAGGTTCTGGGTTCCATCTCCAAAATTAACAAAGAAAAAATACAAGCAATATGACAAAGCTGATATTCTGGGGGGAGGGGGGAATCTGTTTGTTGTTGAGTTTTAGAATTTTATTTTCATCTATTATCTTTAAAATTTATCTTTTAAAATTTATTTTATGTGTATAGGAATTTTGCCTGTGTGGCCATCTGTGTGCCTGGTACCCATGTAGACCAGGAGAGGGCTTTGGATTCCCTGAAATTGGAGTTGGCCACAGTTGTGAGCCACTATGTGAGTGCTGGAAATTGAACCCAAGTCCTCTGGAAGAGCAACCAGTGCTCTTAACCACCAGGCCATCTCTCCAGGCAATTTTTTTTTTCAGTTATGTGCATATGGGGGTAGTGTGCACATGAGTGCAGGTACCCTCAGGCCAGAAGACAGTGTCAGATAGCCTGGAGCTGGAGTTAGAGGTTAGTACCTAAAACAATGTATATGCTACTTTCTATGTCTGTGGGACGGCTGGGTAGTTCTTGCTGACTTTCTATGGAGGTTGCAGCCAGACATCCCTGCTGGACTCTCAGTACTCCTGCCGTTCCTTTTGAAGCCCATACTAATAGACATAGGATCCAGTCTCTTGCTGTTATAGACCAAATTTCTAAAGCACCACATGTGAAACAACACCTTCAAACCAAACACCTTCCCTTATGAGAAGTGATACACACAGTTGTGAGCCATCATATGGGTGCTGGGACCTTCCTCAGGAGGAGAAACAGGTGCTCTTAACATCTCTGAGGCATCTCCATCCATCCATCCATCATTTTCAAGGCAGGTTTTCTCTGTGTAACAGCCCTCCTGTCCCGGAACTCACTCTGTAAACCAGGCTGTCCTCAAACTCACAGATATCTGCCTGCCTCTACCTCCTGAGTGCTGGAATTGAAGGCGTGCGCCACCACTTCCTGGCAATGTGTTTTTTTTGTTTTTTTTTTTTGTTTTTTTTTTGAGGCAGGGTCTCACTGTGTATCCTTGACTGGCCTGGAGCTCACTATGTAAACCAAGCTGGCCTCAAACTGATCCGCCTACCTCTGCCTCCCAAGTGCTGGGATTAACGGCGTGTGCCACCACCACCCAGCTTCCCACCCTTTTCTTATCTCTCCTCTCATCTCTGTTTGACCGAGGAACTTGGTTTTTCTGTGACCCTTTCCCTTGGTGTTCCACATTCCAGCAACCATGGCATCTTTTTGGGAAAAAGCTACTTTTGTGGTGGTACTTTGACCATAGGGCCCATCAGTCACTTTAGTGCTAATTCAGACAAATTAAGCTGTAAGCCAGTGAGAATGAATAGGGGAGGAAGCAGCCTAGGAAACCCTGTCCTGGTATCCTATCCTCCCTGCATCCTTCACCTGCTCCCAGCTGCCCAGCACGCTGTGTACTGCCCTTGGGTATGGAGGAACGGGAGGCAGTGGTGTTAGTGGACATGTGCTGACTGTCTCAGGCCTTGAATGGAGAAGTCCACATGAACTCTCCAGAAGTGTAAATGGAATGTGCTCTCTGGAATGAAGTGTGGTGAAGTACAGGCAGCCCTCTATATCCATGGCTTCCACATCCTGTGGATTCAACCTATTTGAAAAGAACACAGTGTCTATGCTAAACATTTACAGATCTTTTTCTTGTCTCTTGTCCTTATTCCTTAAATAGAGCATCCTAACACTAGTCACTTAGAGTCTACATTGGTACAGGACATCTGTTTAGGTCATGTAGATGTATATGGGATGATATCCATACTTGGTACAAAGCCACAGTGTTTTGTATCAGGGGCATGAGCATCCGAAGCATTTAGTATCCGAAGAGGATCCTGCTACCAATCTCTGTGTACCAAAGGATGACTGACTCTAAGGACTAGTGCCTAGCCTCGTTTCTTTTTCCTTTTCCTGCCTTCCCCTCCACTAACTACCCCCATCTCTTTATTTATTTATATGCTCATTTGTTTATTTATTTATTTGAGGCAGGATTTCTCCGTGTAGCCCTGGCTGTGCTAGCATTCACTCTGTAGTCCATGCTGGCCCAGAACTCAGAGATCTGCCTGCCTCTGCCTCCCAAGTGCTGGGATTAAAGGTATGCACCACCACTGCCTAGATATTTTTTTGTAGTACTAGAGATAGATACAGGACCTGCATGTCCAGGTGAGTGCCCTGACACTGAGCTGCACCTTCAGTCCTTGGGCTTCTTCTTCTTCTTTTTTTTTTTTTTTTGTGATAGGATCATGCTGCTATGTCCTTGGGCTTCTTATAGATGGCTTTGGCAGAGCAGCTGGACCATCTACAGGTTCTGACTTGGTAGCACACATCTGAACTTTGAGCACCTCAGATCTGGTGTTACACATCACACAGATGGTCAGTTCAATGTTTGTCCAGAGAGACAGCAAATGTGGCTGAGAGAAAGAACCCTGCACTGGGCATGGAGGACAGTCTGGAGGCTGGAATTCAGTTGTGATCTCACTGATAATAAATCTCTGGGATGATTTTCTTTATGCACAGTTTGGGTGTCTGGACCTGGGGCATGGCCCAGCCTGGCAGTTTTCATCTGAATGGTGTTGTCTGGAGCCACTCGATTGGGTGATGGTGACCCTGGGTTAGGTTGGAAGGTCCAATGCGGCTTTATGCATGACTAGCACCATGGTGCCTCTGTGTGGTGTTCTGGCTCTCCATATGGCTAGCTTGGGCTTCTTTGGCTTCCCACATGAAGGCTGGCTTATGAAAGGGAGGCAGTGAAGCTACCAGTGTCCCGTATCCCAGAATTCACACATCATTTCTGCTCCCTGTTAGTCTTGAGCCTTGCCCTGGTTCAGGGGAAGAGATGTCATTTCCATCCTTTCCCTACTCCTTTTTTAAAATTTGAATTACATTTATTTATCGTGTGGGAGTATGCTATGGTGTGAAAACTTTGGGGAATTGATTCTCTACTTCCACCATGTTGGTCTCAGGTCATCTTTGTCAGCAAGTGCCTTTACTCACTGAGCCATCTCTCTATCTCTGTTTCTATTGGTGTCTGGAACAGTACTCAGAGGCACAGAAAAAAGAGTTGGCTGTGTCTGTCTTTGGGAGCCATCAACAGCAGGATCCAGACCCCTTCCTTCTGTTCCTCCATCCTCAGCATTTGCTTCTTCCTTAGACCAGGTGGCTGCTGGGACTCTAGCTACTGGGAACCTCTCTTCTCCCTTAAGAGGATGTCTTTTTCATCAGTCAGGTGACCACATGCCCATGTCTTGTTAAAAAGCTGCTGTAACATGCCTTTAATTCCAGTACTCTGGAGGCAGAGGCAGTCAGATCTCTGTGAGTTCGAAGCCATCCTGGTCTACACAAAGAAACCCTGTCTCAAAAAACAAACCAAAAAACTGCTGTAAGGAGCTGCAGAGATGGCTCAGTGGTTAAAAGCACTGGAGGACCTGGGCTCAATTCCCAGAACCCACATGGCAGCTCACAATTGTTTATAACTCCAGTGATACCTTCACACCAGTGCATATAAAATAAAGATATATATATATCTGGGACTTCCCCAGTGAGCCCCCTGTGATCTCACACACTTTCTCTTTTTCCAGTTTACCACAGGCACGTGCAGTGACTCTGTGATTCACAACTGTGACCTGTGTGGCAAGAGTTTCCGCCTTCAGCGCATGCTCAACCGTCACCTCAAGTGCCACAACCAGGTAAAGAGGCACCTGTGCACCTTCTGCGGCAAGGGCTTCAATGACACCTTCGACCTAAAGAGGCATGTACGCACACATACAGGTGAGGCTGTGCACGTGACTTGTTCACTTCTGGTTCCTTTGTCGTTGTCCTTGTGTCCCGTGTCTCTCATCCCCCCCCCCCCTTCAAGAAACAAGTTGGGAGTGTAGAGCAGGATGGTATTTCTGGAAATGACACAGGATGAGGCATTTGGGGCTATCCCAACTGGGTTTACTTCCTGACTCTGCCACCTGCCAGCCTGGGACATGCAGACCACCTATCATGGCCTGATTTTGCGCCTGTAAGATGAGCAGGTTCGAGGGAGGCTAACACAGAAGGTCTCTACTGTAACGAAGTCCCCTTAGTCTGGCTGCAGAATGGGATGCTTATGACCAGTTTAAAATATTTTATGCCTGTTTCTTTACTTGTTTTATTGCTGTCATTGGTTTGGTTTGGGTTTTGTTTTGTTTTTTAAGATAAGGCTTTGTCATGTGGCCTGGCTTTGAACTCTCTGTCCTCCTATTGTGCTTCCCAAGTGCAGAGATTGCCCGTATTCGCCACTGTGCCTGGCTAACCTCGTGAAGGAAGCCTGACTCAGGGCTCCTGATCCTCCTGAGGCAGCAGAACAGCTGCCCTGAGCTTCCTGCTGGAACAGACATCTTCCTTGGGGCCTCTTCCTTGGCTTCCCAACTTTTCTTCTTCCTCCTCTTTTTTTTTTTTTTTCTGGTAAGGGATAGAACCTAAGGCCTTGTGCATGCTAAGCAAGCATTCCACCACTGATCTAGCTTCACAGCCCATTTTCCAGTTTAGGCAGTCTGGATTTGAGACCTCGTCTTGTATGTTTCAGAGAGTCTGGGGGGGATTGACCTTTTGCCTCGGTCAAAAACCTGCTGATTGGTCACAAGCTTCATTAGTTTTATCTTAGGCACATCTGGCCTCTAGGGCTTCACTTGAGGCCCAGTCTATGCCTTTGGCCCAGAAAGTCCTGGAGGAAAATTGTAAGGATGCCACTTCTCTGCTCAGAATTCTGAAACTCCAGGTTGAGTAGATACAGGCACCTCCATGTCACATGAGGCCTCTAACTATGTGGGTCTTGACATCAAAGACACATTAATGCCATCCCATCCCATTTAAACATGACCCCCCACCAAACAATTTCTCTGTGTGTATCCCTGGCTGTCCTGGAACTCTCTCTGTAGACCAGGCTGACTTCAAACTCACAGAGATCAGCCTGCCTCTGCCTCCTGAGTACTAGGGTTAAAGGCATGTGTCACCACCACTGGGCAAACATGACCCATCTTAAACTATAAAGTCTTGTCCTGACCCATCATCCACTCTTCTGACAGCCTTATGCTGTGTGCACAGCCCCATCCCTCAAATTCTCTCAGAATTTAGGGTACCCCCTTTAGAGAGAGATCTCAGCTCCTCAGTCTCATCCAAGGACCTTCTTAGGTCCTCTGTATTCCATTTTCTTTCCTAGATTTTATGATGCGCCCCCCCCCCCTCCAGTGGTGGCATGAGCTGCCTCCCTGGCCTGGCAAGAATATCCTCCACTTTATAAAGTGTGGTGGTCTACAAAAGATACCTTTCTTTTAGTGGCGTTGTTTTGGGGAGGGGTGAGACAGTATTTCTCTGTGTAGTTCTGGCTGTCCTGGAAGTTACTCTATTGACAAGACTGACCTCAAACTCAGAGATCCACCTGTCTCTACCTCTGGAGTGCTGGGATTAAAGTCATCTGCCACCATGTCTGGCTATACGTTTCCTTTAAAACAATTATTTTTTTCTAAACTGAACTTTATATTGAAATGATATATCTAGGTGGTGGTGGCAGCAGTGGCCAGGCTGGTCTACAGAGCAAGTTCCAGGGTAGCCAGCTACACAAAGAAACCCTGAGGAAAAAAAAAAACAAAACAAACAAAAAACCAAACAAATTACATATCTAGAAAAATGCATAAGTTACAAGTAGATGCATGCAGTTAAGATCAAGTTTAAGAAAATCAGAATATTTCTAGCCCTAGCAGTCATTCCCTTCTCCCAGTAACCTTTGTTCCTTCAGGATAGTCACTGCCATAATTTCTAATTAATATATATATGATCATTCTTTAACGATATAAATGTGATCTGTACCCTCTTTGAATCTGGCTGCATGCTTTTTTCAGTCTCTAAAGATTAACTAATTAATATGCATTGGAAATTGAATCCAGGACTTTGAACACACAGTGCAGGTGTTCTAGCCTTGAGATGTAATCCCAGACATTTTTACTTTTTATTTTGAGAAGGGTCTTACTAAGTTGATCAGACTGGCCTTGAACTCACTGGGTAGCCCTGGTCAGTCTTGAACCAGCAGTTCTAGTGATTGAAAGGTGCCTCCAGATGTGGAAATCTGGGGTCACACCAGTCAGGTCTGGACCACAGCCACTGGCTCAGTGTGACTGCTGCACCTCTGCCTTGGGACTAGTAACAATTACATGTGGTTTAAGACACTAGATTTTCAAGACTTGATAAGAAAACAATCTCAAATTTTAAAGTTTAAAATGATTCATTGGAGATAATCTCTTTAGTCCCAGTACTCATGGGGCAGAGGCAGGAGAATCTCAGTGAGTTCTAGGACAACCTAGAATACATTGAGACCCTGTTTTTAAAAAAAAAGAAAAAAGAAAAAGAATCTTACCTGTTTCTTTCTATTAATTTGTCTGTTTATTTATGTTTTGAGACAGTGTCTCCTGTAGTCTTAGGCTGGCCTTGAACTCTAAAAGACTTGAACCCATTTTTATGACTGGAGGTGGAGGTAAGCCTCTATAGTGAGTCATAAAGAGCAGCTGGGGGCTTACCTTCGTCTTAGCTGGTGATAAGTATGAGTTCTCACTGATCTGGGCAGTCAACTGTGGTGCTAGGGGCTGGAGGAGGAGAACAGGCCTATGATTGTCTCCTGGGCTTTACCATAGGCATGATTTCACTACAAAAACAATGTTTGAAAATTCTCTGTTAGTTCGAGTGACCCAATCTCACTGGCTCCAAAAGACCATCCTAGAATTTAGTGAGAACTTGGTCTTTGCCTGTGGTTGAGCTTGAAAAGTTCAGCAAAGACGGGGTGGACAATCAGCCCTAACCTAGCCTCTTACTCGCCACCAGCTGTGTCTCTTCTCATCCCTGGAACTGCAGAGGGCATCCACAGAAAGACTCAAAATCCAAAGGAAACCTTCTGAAAAAGGTTCAGGGAACCCAGAACCTGAGAATGTCTTACACTTATATCCAAACAGATGAAAGAAAAGATTAGGAATCCTTTTGGGGTATCACTTCACCAAGAAATAAATAACCACAGGGTTCTCTGACCTTGACCCTGTCTTGGTCTCTCCGTGGTGTGTGTGTGTGTGTGTGTGTGTGTGTGTGTGTGTGTGTCTGTCTGTCTGTCTGTCTGTCTGTCTGTCTGTCTGTCTGTCTGGGAGTGAGGGTCCAGACACTAGCTCATTGGACTAAATCTAGTGATTCAGAGGAAAACCTCCATAGCATTTTTAAAAACATGTGTCAGTAGCTGGCTGTGGTGGTATATGCCTATAATCACTAGGGAGGTGAAGACAAGAGGATTGTGAGCTCCAGGCCAGCCTGGGCTACACAATGAATTATTGACAAGCAACAAACACCCCCCAGTCCTCCCCCCACCACACAAACCCAAACAAACCAGAATTAACAACAATAAAAATCAGTAAATGAGTGGCAATTTTCATGCCCTGGAAGCAGCTCCATATTAAAATGATTTATGAAGGAGGGCTCCTGGGAGGAACTTGTCAGGCAGTGAAGGCAGTTGGGGAAACAGGGAAATGTTAGCCTCAGCCCTATCCCAGAGGGCTTTGGGGTTTGAAGGATACTTCAATGCTGGCCTGTCCACAGGTTTGTGGATGCCCTTTCTGTACCCATTTCAATCAGACAAAGCTGAAGACCTTTTCACTACTGGGCATTGGGAAAGTCAGTTTTTAGTGCTCAATCCTTGGAGAAGGGGACACCCAGAAGCCCACATGGCCACTGGGGTGTCAGGCCAAGAAGTGAGTCTGGGTGGGGGAGCCAACACTGTCTTCTGCATACTTGTGATTGCTTTGGTCCAGTGTCAGGGACAGGGCCACAGGGCCCAGACTCATCCACATCAAAACAGACAGAGGAGCCCTGAGCATTAAAGGAACACAACATGTATGTTCAGTTCACAGCCTTAGAAAAATACCACAGGTCTGCTTTTATAGAACATTGTCTTGGGGCTGGAGAGATGGTTCAGTGGTTAAGAGCACTGCTTGTTCTTCCAAAGGTCCTGAGTTCAATTCCTAGCAACTACATGGTGGCTCACAACCATCTGTAATGAGATCTGGTGTCCTCCTCTGGCTTGCAGGCAACATGCAGACAGAACACTGTACACATAATAAATAATAATAAATAAATCTTTAAAAAAAAAATAAGAAGAACATTGTCTTGAATGTTCTATACTTAGGCCAGCTAGGTTACTTCCTAAGAATGGCAGCCTGTTGGCAAAAATGATTTGTTTAGTGGGAGAGAGATCTGTGTATTTGAGTGACTAATACTCAAGCCTTGCACGTGCTGGACTCTACACCGAGTGGCCACACCTACACTATTTGGTGTGGTCTGAAGACCAACAGCACCTAGTTGGTGGACATAACACATTTTGATGCCCCAAGGTGCCAACCTCACTGTTCAGACACAGCACTTATTGAAAGTATTTTATTTTCCTGTTTGTTAAAATGAATGTTGATGCTTCCAAAGACTTCAGATGGCATAAAAAGCTATAGCCAGTGTCAACTCCCATAGGTGGTTGATAAGGCCAAGCACATCCGTGGGGTTCTGCTCAGTCTTGGAGAGAGAGGGTTGGTTAGGCCTGGGAAAATGATAACCCACCCTTTTCAAGGTGTGGTGGCTCATGTCTATAATTGCAGCACTTAGAGGCTGAGACAGGAGTATTACTGAAATTTAATGTCAAATTGAGCATTTGCTTGTCTTGCAGAAGACCTAGGTTCAGTTCCCAACACCCAAAATGGTAGTTTACCAGCGTTCTAACTCCAGAT